TATATATATATATATATATATATATATATATATCTATAATATTTTTTATTTTTTATTTTTTTTATGTTTTTATTGTTGAATTATTTGATTGATTTAAATATACTATACATCTATATTTGCTCTATCAAATTTTATCTCAAAAACTTATAGAAACTATTTTCTTATTTCATGGTTTATATCTTTAACACACTTAAGTAATTATAGTTTTTTTTTCTTGTTTTACAAGTTTATCAAATTGTAAGTTATATCTTTATTATCTTATCATATTTTTTAATAGTAACAAGATAGTTATAAAATTTATATCTTTTGATATTATAATAAATTTACATCTTTTGATATTATAATAAATATATCTATATAATACTAAAGTTATCTATATATTAGATTTTTAAAAAAATCATATTTTCAATGCTTCAAAAGATCAATAGGATATGAAAAGTCCTGAACTAAATACTGAATTATGTTTTTAGCTAGGTAGTAAACCTGGAAAATTAATTATTTAATTCTTCCAATACATTCTTGGTTTTGCAAAAATTCATGACTAAGTATGAATTAGATGATTTAAAATTCACATTGGCAAAACAAAAAAACAGAGAATAAAGACAATGTTAGATTATTTTTATAAAAATTTATTGATTAATTAATTAAAATTAAAAAACATAAAAGATCTGATTTTATTTACTTATTTCTTACCAATGATTATTTTTCTATAAAAGTGATTATTTCTTCAAAATTAAATACATGAATATAAATACTACAATCTTAACAATGACAATTATGTATATAAGAAAATGTGAATATATATTAATTTTTATTAGTATTTATTTATTTATTTTTATTAGAAGTGTTGTAGACCAATATATCACCAAGAATAATTTAAGATAATAAAAATGTATTCACAAATTTATAATTTATACAAATAAATAAATAAATAAAATTTATACAATAAGTATCTTTAATATATAATTTAATAAAAATAAATAGAAGTACATAGAAATATATTAGGTTAATATTGTTTTATGTATGTATGTATGTATGTATGTACATATATATATATATATATATATATATATATTAATAAATAAAAATCAACTGTAGGTGATGCTGGGTATGCGATGTAGCAATAGAAACTTCTCATAGAAGCTTCTACCTTTAGAAGGTCACCATGCACAAATTCTACAACTTTAATGCTTGGTCCAAAAGTCCTATTGTCCTTTAAAAGTTTTTACAAGGTCTTCTAATTCACTAATATGTTAAAGGAAAAAAAAAAAAAAAAAAAAAAAAAAAAATTAAAAAACAAGACTTAGGTTATTCTTTCTCTTGTGCATATTTTTATTTATTTTTAATTTTTTGCTGTTATTGAAGATTCTATAATTTCTTTGTAATTGATAATAGCTATTCTAATTCTTTTGTTTTTCATAATTGTATACCTTATTTGAATTTTTTGAATTTTTTATATTCCTTTTATTTAATAATACGTGATTATAATTTATGATATTTAGTTTGTGTAGATTCATGTCCCTAATGCTTTGTATAAAAACTAATATTACATAAAGTGTATTTCAAATTAATATTTTACAGTGAAAATTTTATTATATATATATATATATATATATATATATATATATATATATACTGAACATATATAAAAATACAAAAATTTCAAATTTCGTAAATCAAAATTATGTTTTATATGGAATACTAACTTGGGATCTGTTCATATTTTGAAAAAAATTATTTTTATACAAAAATTATATTTTAAAAAAAAAAAACTAACATTAAAACTTATTTACTATTAGAATGATACAAATGTAGTCCTTTGAATGATGTAGAATTATAGATCATGTATATGCATTTTTTGCATTGTTTAAAATTTTGATATTAGAGTTTGATTTTTTGTAGAAATTTTATGCAATCTAATAAATTTGAAATAAATGAAGTAGGTTTTGGGAATTTTTTTTTTTAAAATACAGGTACTTTAACCATTCTGAAGATTGTTGCTGAATCATAATATTTGCAATGCATATAATATCTTTAGTCTTCCAATCAATTCAAGAAAGTTTTATAACTCTTTGTATGATAAATAATTAAGACATTGAATTGTAAAATGGTGATTTTAGGATTTATTATATGAAGTATAGTTTTAGTATATACATACATATTAAAAATATTATTGATATTTTTAAAGTAATATTTTGTATAAAATTTAATTCATATGTTATACAAGCAAGCCTCTTCACCAGATTGCAAGTTGTATGAATGTTCCAAAATCATCCATATCAGTTTGTAACTTTTCAAGTACCTCATAACGACTTAAATAATTGTAGCAATGAATGAATAAATAAATAAATATACGGTATTTTCTATTTTTAATATTATCGTTTTAATTTATAAGAATAATAACAATATATATTATTATTAAACCATTTACTTTATTTAAGAATCATTAAAATGATTGAAGGATGTTATATACTTTACTGAAAGTGTTAATAATACAAAAAATTGTTCTGATATCATCAACTTGTAACTTGTATTATAATAGCTCTTATAATTTTTCAATTCCAATACATTAAGTTTTTATATTTCTCAAAAATACATATAAAATTTATATAAGAACCATGGTAATTTTATTTTTTATCTTTTTATTTTCCAAGTCATTGATTCATCCAAATAATTTGTCTCATAGCATTCTATTCTTTAGTTGACACAAACTTTATGCTTTTGTGCTTGTAAATATTGTTATTATAAATGATATTTTTATGAAAATATTTAAAATCTTAAATGATGATTTAGAGTCCCATTTCTGTTTAATTTGTTTTGTTTTGTTTTGTTTTGTTTTTTTTTGTTTTTTAAATGTCATGGATACTCTTGAGAAAGAAGTGTACAACATAAGGTTTTAAAATTTAACAAAGATGAAAATTTCTAACAATAAAGTGAAGGTGTGATATTTTACAATTGAAACTCTTAAAAATATCACATTCTTGTGAGGAATTTGTACCAATTTTGGAACTTTATTTTATTATTTTCAAATATAAATTTTGTTGATGAAGATTATAGGCAAATACAAATGCAGTTTTTGTTTCATTTTATTTATTTATTTATTGTGTCCAGACATAATTTATAAGTTGACATTGTTAGTCAAGGTCAATTCATCACATAGGTAGTCTTATGTTGTCCTTGCTTGTTGTAAAGCATTCAATACTGACAGAATAACATATTCTTATTCAGCAGATAACTCAATAAAATTCAACACCCACAAATTTACCAGTTAACAACACTATTACATTTGCATTGACATAAGAGAAAAGACTCATCTGTCATCAAATTCTCAGTATACACATATCAAAGTTGAGTTTGATCTAAAATGGTTAAAATTGTGGGGCCTACAAAAAAAACACTGATGACCACACATAGACACACACAAAATGTATGAGCACACATGTAGTGAATTTGTTACTAAATATGTATAGTTTTGGCATCATTGGAGTTTCATAGGACAAAATTACATGACTCAGATTGGTTTGGAAATTGGGTTGGTCAGAGGCAAATGCAGAGGATGAAAAGGGGGTTTTACAGTAATTGCTGCTACAAACTGTCACAAGGTAGAGGGTCATAAAACCATAACAGAATTGAAATTTTCGGGGAGTTATGCTTAGATTCAAGGTATCTATTCTGCAGGTGCCTGATTCCCCCCCTTGTAATGGAGTCTCCCTTGCACACACTTCCCCACACACCCACAAAATTCAGCATCTGCGCAGGAGGGGGGGGGTTGGAGGAACTGCACAATAGGTCGGTAGGTAGGTACATATGAAGAGGCTGAGCTGGGCTGGGCTGGGCCAGACCACGGTGATGGGGGCCATTCATTTGCACCAACCAGGTCGCTAAAGGGGCACGGGACCGGGGCTGAAGGCAACGCGTGGGAGTGTCGTCGCGAGCCTCGTGCTCTTGCGTGCAGAGGAGACGACTCTTGACAGAGGCCGTTGCGGTACAACAGATCAATGAGCACCATGAGCACCGTAGCTCAGATAAGCCTCGGAGCAGCGAGCGGGTCACGGGCAACGACCCGGGCAGCAGCATGAGGTAGAGGAGCGGGAGCTAGAGGGGCAGGGAAGTTAATGAGCTGGTGGCGTCGCATGTAGTTCCTGCTGGTCTGCAGTCGAGTCCACTGCGCACACCTGGTAAAAATTGCAGCGGATATAACGACGGGAGGTACTTTTTAGATTAAATCCCAAACCTGAGGGAAAACCAGTCTCCATCACTGCAATCAGCCTCCGCAGACCCGGTGAAATCAGTCCTGAAATCGAGGACTGAGCCTGCCGCAATGCGAGTTGCGATGAGGGTTAGATCATGGAGCTCGAGTGTGAGTAGGAGGGGGGGTCTCATGAGAATGTTTTGGACTGTGGAAGAAGGCACAGATTGGGGATGAGGGAGGCTGAGAAATCGTTTTCGAGGAAGCGGGAATTTGTCCTCGGGAGAGAAGGGGTTGGGTGTTATGGTAAGGCTTGTGCCACGTTGACGCCACAGCGGGGAGTACAGACCGCATGTCGGAATAAAGCACGCACGTTAGAAACATTTGGTAGGCTGCAGAAACCAATAATTGTGGGAGGAGGGTGGGAAATTGTTTTTGCCCTGCGGGGAATGAATGATTTTTTGGGACCAGTAGGTGGTGAATCGGGCGGAGGTTGCAGGGAAGGGGGATGAATGACTTTTGTTTGAGTAGGGTTGGGTGGCGTTGGGGGGGACGGGGACGATGAACTCGTCGTCTGGATCGTCCTCGGTCGTCAATCGTCGTCGCATGAGGTGTGGGCTATCTTTTGGTTGGGCTGCCAATACGCGTGTAGCGCGTCGTACCTGGGCCCTGGCAGCACGCCCCCTCGTTCGCTAATCAGATGGAGGCTTCGCGGAGTCGCACGGCCGGGATGCGCGCGCATTTACTTTTATCGCACGGTTGATCCGCGCCCACGTGAGTTCCAGTCTTCTTCTTTGTTCCAATGGGAATGGAGAAGGCTTTTCTCCAACATTGCCTCTCCGCGTCCTTGCCGTTTCTGTGCACTAGTCTTCCACTTCCACAGTTTATTGCTGCTTTGCCTTGTACTTGGTGGGAGTTTCTGCAGCTCACAACCAACGCACAAAGTCGTCCTAAGCCCTCCCAAGTAAGGCTTTGCGTGCTGTACTGCGGCTCCTGGCTCGTTTTCTCCCACCAGTCCGATCTATCGCTCTCTTGTCTACCTTGTAGAACCAATCGTCTAGCTATTGGGTTTTGATGACCTTTTCTTACTCCGTCTCGACCCCCGCTCCTGTTGATTGAGAGCTTGGGTGTCTCCTCTGGTGGACGGGTTGTGTCGTTCCCCATGTCCTTATCGACCCTGAGCGCCCTCACTCCAGGCCGTCCACTCCTGTCGGTGTGCTTACTGTCAAGCTGTACCACAATTGGCACTCTGCGCATGTGAAACACAGCTCTCACCTTTCAGCTTCCAGACAACGGTAACATCCCTGCCTGTGTTTGCCATGATGTTCCCCCCCCTCCCCCTCCTGCGTCCTGTTCATGTCCTTGTGCGTAGTGCTGGCTCATCCCCCCATCTCTTTCTGCCTCGCCACTTGCTCGGTCACGGTGACTCACCTGACGGCGACTGAGATGATCGAATGGTGCACTAATTGTGGAAGTAGGTTAACAGCTTGTTCATTGATTAATGAGGCCAAAGTATCAGGAGATGTGTAATTTCGTCCGGCTTGAAGAGGTGTCATGGGAACTGTCGTCACAGGAGCCGGCGGATGCTCACATGCGGGACGTCTGTCTTTGCAGTGAATGATCGCAGCCTTCGGTAGGTCTTTGTTGCAAAGCTGGTGATCGATCCATCACTGTTGTATGGGAAAAATGTTTGTGTAGAGCAGTCTCAACTTCTGGAGTCTGAAGCCTGCGTCTCAAATCTCGGGCTGATGGAAGGGTCAATTCCTAATTTGCAGGTGGGGCGCGTGTACCAGACAATCTGTCGAGCTTCGGGCGTGACATCCGCTTCCATCCCTGGGAGCAGCACGGCCAGCTTGCGTTCACCAATCAAGCTGGACCCTCAAAGGCCCAGGGTTACATGGTAAATGTACAGACGCCGTTGATGAGTGTAGCTGTCTTAGGTCACGGCGATTGGGCCATGATTCCCAGTAGCTCCAACCATGAACAGCAGCAGCAGCAAGCGCAGTTACAGCAGCAGGAAAAGAAGGCAAGCCAATTGTTTGCGCAGAGGGCGTTGCAGGAGCGGCGACTGAAGCCTCCAGATCAAGTTATTGCGTGCCCTCGCTGCCAATCCCTTAACACCAAGTTTTGTTACTACAACAACTACAGCCTTACGCAGCCCCGACATTTTTGTAAAAGTTGTCGCCGCTACTGGACTGCAGGTGGGACTTTAAGAAATGTTCCAGTGGGCGGAGGGTGCCGTAAGAATAAACGCACCAAGCCGCGTACTCCGGAGGGGCAAAATGGTAGGACAGGTAGTGCAGATGGCGACAGCATGTCTGTCCCGGTTCTGCAGCATCCTGGATTTAATTCCACTAGTATTGACTTCTTGAGCTCCAGTGAAGGTTCTGCGTTTGGATCAGCCGATCCATCCATGCGCGCGGATTCACCAATGTGTCAGAGCACCGAAGGAGGGCTGCCGATGTTCCATCCAGGGGCCCAGTCGTCAAGTATAGCGCAACATCAGCTACCTCAACCATTCGATAGTGGCATTCCTGGCTTGAATTTCTTTAGGAATGCGAATCGAGTACCAGGGACCACATTGAACTTGCACCCCACATTTCAGATGCCCACTGGGGACTTGAGCGAGATGTTCGACACGTCAAACGCGCCGAGAGTTGGGGCGCTCTCGACCCTGAGTGAGGGCCTGGGTACTTTCAATATTAATCCCAAGTCTGGGAGGGACCAACAGTCTTTAATGAGTCTGGAACGGTGGCAGGCTGCATCTAAGCAACATGCACCGAGCGGAATCTGGGGATTGCCAGAGATGGCTCAAGCGCAAGCTAACGCGGACATGAGCAGGCACCAGGATGCGAAAGGCAAGATGACGCTCGCGATGGCACCAGCTTCGGGGATGGATGCTCCAAAGAGGAGCCAGCAGCAGCAGCAGCAGCAACAACATCAACAGCGGCCGACTCCATCATGGGAACATTCGAATCCTCAGGAGAATCCTGGATTGCATTACGAACAGCAATCCGAACAGAATTACTGGAGGAACCCCGGCGGATGGCCATCGACTGAGGCGTTTCAATCTTCCGGCGGTGGACAAGCGTTGTGAGATGCACCTGTACAATCTTATCTTTAGTCAGACTTTTCCTCTCACTCTTTTTCCTGAACAGAGTACCTCTTGTGTGTACTGGAATTAAACCAGTGGTACTCGCTCAGTGCCAAGCACATCAGCTATAAATGTAAATGCAGTCGGGACGCCATATTTTTTGGCTTCCTTAGATGCGAGAGCTTGCAGGTTGCGCACTCCGGCGAGCCCCCTGCGCGCGGGTTTCCTCTTATAGATCCTGCGCTGTACCTTTTAGGCGATATCGCCCAATCTCCCTCCCCTACCTTTTTTTATTTTTATTTTACATTTTTTAAAAAAACCTTCCCTATTAAATTGAATCATATCACGCCAAAACACGCATTATTGCGAGTTAAGGATATCGTATGTGCTTGTTTGTTGGCAGTTCAGAATTGATTACACTTTTGGATTAGTGCTCGGTAGCTTGTATCTTCATGTCGATGTCAGCTACCATCCGCAGCCTCTCACTCGATCATGTACAAGTGTTGAAAATCGATGTGTTGAGGTGGAATATACATGCTATCGTAACCTATGATGCCCACGCATGATGAATCTTCACTGGATCCCTCTGAATGAAAGTCTCTTCTCTGGGTAGGTCATGCATTTTTGGCTGTTGAGGTAGGGCCTTGGGAAAAGCCCGTGACTCTCACATGATTTGCTTGTGATAAGTCAAACTCTTGTGCACATTCACAATGCTTTTTCATCGTGGAAGATGAGAATGTTGTCTTGTGAGTAATCAACAGTGCAATAGGTTTCTAAATGCCTGCATAGTCTCTGTCACTTCGTCTCTCTTTGAGCACATGGGTCTGCCGACTCATACTTTTGGATTTCTCCACAGACGGTTGAGTGGGTGCATACAGGTACGAAGAAATGCGAGCATGAGTTGTCAGAGTAGTAGGGGAGGGATGTGTAAGACTAGGACCAAACTGGCAGAGCGTTTTTCAACAACGGACTGTGGTGTACCCGAGCGGTGTGGCAAGATGTCTGAGCGATAGAGCGTGGTATATGCCCAAATCTGCGTGCGGCGGATAAGACAAAGCCAAACCGCTAGAGGAGTGGGTACACACAACCCAACCTCTCAAAGACTTAGTAGCAGTGCTGCATCGACCTTCTCAATATCCCAAACCCCTGACCATGGCTTCGGGAGATACGTACTGTTTTCTTCAAACGGAGACTCTTCTCCATCCACAAACGCACGTACTGCACTATCCAGCATGCTATTGTTCTACGCAAATAGAAAAGCGAATTTCCACAAGGAAATCTACTCTTTCTATTTCCATTCAACTCCTCTGAGGGTGCTGTGTCGCATCCGTCCAGACTTCTCCCACCCCCTGTAGCGACGAGAATTTCGAAAGACTTACACAATGCATGTCCTCGTGTAAAGGTGAGAAAGTCGCTTGTCAAAAGCTGGCCAAGTCAGGAAGTAAACGGTGTCAGAGATGCTGCAGTGTGCCGTCAAGAAGTGCGGATCATGCCTGTTGTTTTCAAATGCTATATAAGGAAACCATGTCGGCGGAAGCAGATTTTTCAGAGAAAGCAAGAGCCTGAGCAACATAGCGCCAGGCGTAGCCATGGGATCCACATACCTTTGTCGACCCGGCCGCACAGTAACAATTCTCTGAAACTTATCTTTCACAGCACCGTGATGGCTGTGCTTACGCCGCCGTCTGCAGCACGGTTGAACTGCTTGACCTGCGACCTGGTAATCCCCTCTATTTTAAATCCCTATTCCTTCCATTATATGCAACAACAGCATTGCAATCCACAGAACCAAACTATTTATAATATGTAAGAGAAAATGATTCTTTTTGATTCTCTGCAACTTACCCTCCCATGAGTAACCTGCAGCGACACAGTATGTTCGGCATCTCATCTGCATTCACAGCTCTGCAGCTGTTGCAGAACCAATCATTCACATACCCTCAACTACTCCTTTTCCTTCGCTCTACATCATCTTCTACAACTACTACTTCATTACAGTAATAGTAGTAGCAACAGTGATTGATAATCAGTGATAATCGGTGATTAGGATCAGATTCGAAATGTCGTTTTCTGTTGTTGAAAGTTAGTCTGCACTGATTGAAAGGGCCTTTCTTGTCAGAAACGAGGTAACGCTGCTGCTCCGCTATAGGGTAAAGGTTTCAGGTTGTTGCCAATGTGTGTGTGTGTGTTTGTGTGTGTAAATATACAAGGAAGTAGAAAGAAGGCTTTTGACATTGATGGCATGCAGGGCATCTTCAATGAATGGGCTCTCCTTCAAGTTTAGCTACATGAGGAGGCACAGAGCTACTCCAAAGCTCTCATTCTTTCTTTCATTTCTTTTCTCTTTCTTTCTGAAGTTTTCTTCATTTTCTTCTTCTTGTGTGATCTGCTGTGTCCACTGCAGTGGGAGCCATGTTTGTTTCTGTCTGTCTGTCTGTCTGTCTGTCTGACATCGTTGTGGCTTGTGTGGGTTTTGAGCTTTCCTGGTGGACAAAGATCTGTCCATGGAGGGGACTGTTTCCACTCATAGCCTTAGGTTCCAGCTTTTATATCCAAAAAAATGATAGTTGAAAAAGGGGGGAAAAAAAAAAAAAAGAGAAATGAGAAGAAGAGAAGAACAAGGACAAGGGAATAAAAAGAAGTTGGGTTTCTGGTACACCAAAACCACCTATTTGATATTGGTATATGGCAATGCATATATGATATGGGTAAAAAAAAATAAAAGGAGTGCACGTGAAAGTTAAACAAGTGACATGAAGATGCGCTCTTACTGGTCAAAAAGTTTTGTTGGCATTTTAGGATATTTTGCATATTTTTGCAAGTGTATGTGATTTTATTTTATATCTTATATATATTTGTGTGTGTGTATATATATATATATATATGTATATTCTTTTTACACTAAACACAATAGGAATTTTGGTTTCTTTGACCATATTAATAAAATTAATACACTTAAAAATTTACAATATAACTTACAACAGAAGACTTGGTTTTCTATTTTTTTTTTCTTTTCTTCTCTACAATGTTTTAAAAGAAGAATTTGAATTTATTAAAATAAAATTAGATATAAATAAAGAGTCCAAAAGTTATTTTTTTGAATTTAATTAAATAATATATATAATTTATTATTATATAATATCAGAAAAAATATTAAAAGTATAATAATTATATAATGTAGTAATTTTATCTAATATTAATATAAAAGATAAATGATTTCAGTTATTTTTTTGTAATATATATATATATATATATATATATATATATATATATATATAAAATAAATTCTTGTAAAATAATAAATCCTCTACATTAATAATTTATGGCAGTTCTTAAGATTAATGCTAAAATAGTAAACTGTAAATTTTATAGTACTATTTTTTGTATAGTTCCAATACTAATATAAAATGCATAAAATGATATAGCATAATTAAAGAAAAAAAAATTTAAAGCAATTTGTCTCAATTGACAAGTTTGCATTTCTAAAGCAACTAAATCTAAATTATACACTTTTCTTAAGTTGGTTGTCTTATCTTTTTCATTTTGCAAAGTTTTTTTTGGCATTTATAATAGATCCAATAATTTTTAGGGCTTAATTAAAACTATTTTTTAAATTATTGTCTAGATTTTTTTTTATCACCTTTGCCTCCATCTCCTCCAACTATGCCATGCTCCACTACCATAGAATCCACAATCTTATTAGCATTAGTAGTATAATTTTTTTTTTTTTTCTTGGAAATTAAATAAGTTTTAGACGTCTATTGTATTTGCATGTTATAACCTTTAGATTTGAGATTGAAGCTTTTAACTTATCTAAATTGGTGTTTCAACAATTATCTCAAAAATGACATTTGGATCAATCAACAAAATTAGTCATTCTAAAGGAAAAAAACCACTATCACCTATGCTTTGATATTTGTGCAATATTTTGTCCTAATGTTGTCACAATTAAAAATGTTAAAGAAATAAGGATTTTAAAACTTACCAACAATTTAAATTGATAGCATGTGCAAGCCATCTCTATTGGTGCAAATCATAAGTATCAACTATTTTTTGCAAGCTTTGCATCTCTTCAATTCTTTAATTGGAAGTGATTGGTTGGTCTTAAAATAATTAAAAAAAATATCCTAGCAATCTATTGCTTACATTACTTATAGTTTACTACCTCCAAAAAATACTCCTTTCTTTATTTTAAATGTTAGGAGGATATGAAATCTCTAGTTGCAAAATGCACTTACAATTACATAACTATTTCTACAACAAAGGTTATTATTTGCAACAATATCAAAAATCAAACATAATAATTTAAGTTCTAACTCAAGGTCCAAATTTAATGATATTGATGTCTATAATAAAGTTTTTAAAAGTGTAGTATGTCAAAGAAATTATTAATAATTTCTACAAAAAGTTAATCCATATTTTTTAAAAAAAGAATCAATATTAGAATTTATTTTATTTTCTTTTTTATTTTTTTTATTATTTAAAAGTTGGTAGTTTTTAATCTTTAAAACATGAAAATAAGAAATAAGATAATCTATTAACTTTTGAAATAAAGAAAATATAACAAAATAGTACTCATATTAAGTTATTTAGAAACAAAAATTATAATTTTTTTAAAAAAAAACCATACATTCTTATGATACTTAAAGAAAAAAATTAGATAAATTGAAGATGGATATAAGATAGAAATTAGAATGACTATTGCCAAATATAAAGAGACTAGAGATTCTTAAACTAAAATAAGAATGCAGGAAAAGCATTAACAAGACTAAAAAAGGCCTCATTCTTGCCTTCATATATACTATCTAATTGAAGAGCTCTATGGCAATGTTTTATAGGTCATTCAATACATATCCAACTTATGGGATAAATTACTAACTTGCAAGGCAAATTTCCAATGTGTGTGTGCTACATGGCCAACTAATAAAACATGTGGTCAAATTATAAAATAAGTGGTCAATGTGTACAAGATATGACCAATTTATTAGCTAAACTTTTAACCTACTAATTACTTATAAATACTTATAAAGACAAATCCGGATCTATTAAGCTTGTCTAAAGCTTATTGACAAGATATTATTAAATTGACCTACTTCTACTTACTTCTACTTAATTCCTCTTAATTATTAATGTCAATATGTTTATGACACAATGTTAGTAATAGAGTGTCTTTTCTATGAGTGCGTAGTATAGTTTATAGCAACATTTTATTGCCATGTTTATATTATTTAGTTCAAAGCTATACATTGAGCATGGATTGATATTTTCTAAAATTTTGGAAATAATAGCTTAACTAATTATTATACATTTTTTTAAATCAATAAATAAGTTCTTTTTTGGTTGTCTCTTGTTGGTCTTGCTTCTACTTATAGATGGAATTTTGTCTTCATCAATGAGACTAATGCCTTTTACACCTTGAAGGTACTCTTTTACCATGCTAAGAAATTGTTGTTGGTTGTAGATAGGATTTTGAGACAATTTTTAAAGTTTTTGGCATAGTCTAGAAGAAAAATAAAAAACGAGATTCTTTACTATAATAAGCCTTT